TAGGTTTTGGGCAGCTCAGCAAAAGCCCCAAGGCACCCCAAATCCTGCCATCACCTGCTGGTTGCTTGTAAGGCTCAGCCACTGAAAAACCTCCAACAGTACATGAGTTGGGTGAGGTGGGATCTCTTAGAGACAACAGGGTAGGGAGAGTGGTATTCATCAAGATAATGCAGATTCAGGGTTGGTGCCAGTGCTGAGCCTGAGGCTGCTTAGCTAAAGGATCAGAGCACACCACAGCCAGCCGCCAGCCACCTGAGGCCGGCACACCCTGCCAGGTGTCCAAAAAATAATACAGCATGGGTCCGGGATGGCTGCATATCACTGAAAATGCCTCCTGGGGTATGCTCAAAGTGTTTTCAGTGGTGTGTGAGTTGGATGTCTTAGGTTCCCAGGTAGTCACAAGTGTGGAGTGAGGAATTTCACCAGGTCAGTGCAGATTCAGATTTGGCCTTGTTTGGGGAGGATTCAACACAGGAAAGATGGTGCCTGCCCATAGGCTGCATGGGAGAAGGGCTCAACACAAGGACAATGGCAGCTGTCTCCCCACTCCTCACTCTTAAGCTACACAACTCAGTCTCTCCCTGTATGTCTCTGGTACCTCCCAAGTCTCCATCCCTCCCCTGGAGCCCAGTGTACCTGTGAGCAAGTCTGTGCATAGGCTCTTTAAGAGGGTGCCAAGGTTTCTAGCAGCCTTCCGTCTCGCCTGGATGTACAGAATCCTCACTGTTATTCTGACTGTACAGAATCCTGACTGTTATTCTCAGTCAGATATGGGAGTTCTTCTTCCTGGCACTGGTGCTGCAGTTTGAGGAGCCCGATGTGAGGCCGGGGCCCTTCTCTCTTTAGGGGAGACCTGTGCAGCCAAGATATCCCTTCTAATTCTCAACTACCACACATAGATGTAGGGCCAACCCATTTCTCATCTCTGTACCTCCTACCAGTCTTGACATTCCTTACATCCTTCATTACAGGACTTCTGTTCAGCTAGTCTTCAGACAGTTCTCCAGCTTAATCATCCTAATTTAGTTGTAATTTTAATAGGGAAATGTGCTTGCCTCCTCTCATGACCATATTAAAATTACAAATAAATTATTTTTAAAGTTTATCAAACCATATGTTTTAAATATGTGCAGTTATATCAATTAGCCCTCAATAATGTTTTTAATATTAAATTGACACCATCTCATAAGTAGAGGATCCAGCAGCATGTTATTAATGTGGTGTATGATATTTACAGATTTAAAGAGAAAACCATATTATCTCAGTACATACCAAAATATCAGTTTATATTAGGAACATAATTTTAAAATATCTTAATTTGGAGGGGTCTGGGCAAGAAGGCAGAGTAGGGAAATGTGCTTGCCTCCTCTCATGACCATATTAAAATTACAACTAAATTATTTACAACTAAAAAATAATTTATATTTTGAGAGTAGTTTTATGTTTCTAAGAAAATTGAGAGGAATATACAGAGATTTTCCATATACCTCCTATACCTATACATGCACAGCCTATTCCATTATCCGCATTACTCATTAGAATGGTGCATTTTTCTTTACCAGGAATAAACCTACATTGACAAATTATAATCACCCAAAGTCCACTTTTGGGTTTACTCTTGGTGTTATACATTGGGTTTGAACAAATGTATAATAATATATATCCATTAATATGTCATATAGAGCATTTCACTGCCCTAAAAATTCTCTGTGCTCTGCTTATGTATCTCTCCTCTTCAACCTCTGGCAAACACTAATATATTTATTATCCCTAAAATTTTGCAAAGTGTAATATAATTGAAATCATATAGTGTGTAGCCTTTTCAGAATGACTTCATTCACTTAGTAATATGTAAGATTCCTTTATGTATTTTCATGCCTTGATAGCTCATTTATTTTTAGCACTGAATAATATCCATTCTCTGAATGTACCACAGTTTATCCATTCACTTACTGAAGGACATCTTTGTTGCTTCCATGTTTTGGCAATAATGAGTAAATCTGTCATAAATATTCATGTGTAAGTTTTTGTTTAGGCATAAGCTTCAACTCCTTTGGGTAAATACTAAGGAGCACACTTGCTAAATCATAAAGCATGTTTAGTTTTGTAAGAAAACAAACACTCTTTTAAAGTGGCTGTACTGTATTACATTCCCACCAGCACTGTATGAAGAGTTCCTATTGCTCCACATCCTCCCCAGCATTAGATGTCAGTGTTCTGGATTTTGGCCATTTTAATAGGTGCGTAGTGGCATCTCGTTGTTTGAACATTTTTCTGATGATATATGATGGAGATTTCTGTGTGCTTATTTGCCATTTATATATCTTCTTTGGGGAGGTGTCTGCTAAGATATTTGGTCCATTTTTAATCAGGTTTTTGTTTTCTTGCTGCTGAATTTTAAGTGTTCTTTGTATATCTTAGATAACTTAGATAACTTAGATTCCTAGGTCAGACCTGTCTTTTGCAAATATTTCCTACCAGTCTATGACTTTTCTTCTAATTGTATCGACATTTTCTTTCACAGAAAAGATTTTAATTTTAATGAAGCCCTGCATATCAATTATTTCTTTCATAGATTGCGTCTTTGGTTATATCTAAAGCCATCACCATAAAAAAAGACAACACCTTGCCCAAAGTCATCTGTTTTCTTCTATGTTATTTTCTAGGAGTTTTATAGTTTTCCATTTTAAATTTAGGTCTAAGATTGATTTTAGCTTATTTTTATGAAAACAATCTTTGTCTAGATTCATATGTTTGCATGCGGATGTTCAGTTGTTCCAGTACCATTTGTTAAAGAGACTATCTTTACTTGCTAAATATGTTTTATTAGATTTCTTATTAGTTATGGGGGAGTTTTTTGGTCAATTTTTTGGAATTTTCTACATTGATGAGCATGTTACTCATGAAAAAGATGACCTTATTTTCTCCTTTCCAATCTGTATACATTCTATTTCCTTCTATTGTTTTATTGCATTAGCAAGGACTTCCAATACAATGTTGAAAAAGTGTGGAAGGAGAGAGCATCCTTGCCTTGTATCCAATTTTGAGGAAAACTTCAAGCTTTTCACCAGAGTAGTTCATATTTGAAATATTTATATATTAAGGTGAAGTTTAGATTTGTCTGATTTCTACTCTTGCCCTTCCATCTTTAAGTAAAACATTTTCTCAGTTAATTTTGCCATCACTTACAGAGAGAAAACTCTCATATCCCCAGCCTTTTCCATCATTCTTCTTGCCACTGTTTTTCTTTCTTTCTTTCTTTCTTTCTTTCTTTCTTTCTTTCTTTCTTTCTTTCTTTCTTTCTTTCTTTCTTTCTTTCTTTCTTTCTTTCCATCCTTTATTTTCTTTTTTATTATATTTTAAGTTTGTTGGGGTAACATTAGTTAATACAATTATGTAATTTTCAAGTGTATGTTAAAATTTGACATCTATATATTCTATTGTGTAATTACCACCCAAAGTCCAGTTTCCTTCAGCTACCATATATTAGATCCCCTTTACCCATTTCACCCTCCCCCAATCCCTGTATACTGACCCCCTTTACCCCCTCTTCTTCTCCCCTCCTCCACCACCCCTATCCTCTGATAACCACTAGTCCATTGTCTATGTCCCTGAGTCTCTGTTTGCTTGTCCTGTTCATTTGTTCCTTTTAGGTTTATATCCCACATATAAGTGATGTCATGTGATTTTCAACTTTTTCTGTCTGGCTTATTTTGCTTAGTATGATTATTTCGAGGTCCATTCATGTTGTCACAAATGGCAGTATTTCATCTCTTCTTATGGCCGAGTAATATTCCATTGTATATATGTACCACACCTTCTTTAGCCAATCATCTGTTGTAGGATACTTTGGTTTCTTCCATGTCCTGGCAACTGTGAATAATGCTGCTATGAACATCAGAGTGCAAATATCTTTTTGGATATGGGTTTTAAAGTCTTTGGGGTAAAAATCCAGTAGATGGATTGCTGGATTATATGGTAGATCAATTCTTAGTTTTTTGAGGAACCTCCATACTGTTTTCCATAGTGGCTGTACCAATTTCTTGCCATTGTTTTTAGATACACATTTGTTTCTCCAGGCTCAAGATGTAATTCCAAGAGACACATGATTCCAGGAAAGGAAAAAAAAAATCTTTATTTAGAAGCATGAAACTCAACCTTTGCTGCACACTCAAATCACTTGTGCAATTTTTTTAAAGCATTGATGCTTGGGTTTAAGCTCCAGATAGTCCAATATAATTGATTTCTGCACAGCTTGAATACTGGGAGATTTGCAAGCTTACTGAATAATTCTAATGGAGATCTAGAATAAAAAAATCAACCACTATTAACACATACCTTCTCCGATGCATACAAGCATCCTTATGTCCTTCAGTAAAGTCATGTTAAAGACCCAGGCCCATCTCTAATGTAATCCATAGTGATAGCATCTCTTTCATATGGCTAATTTGATTTATTTTAAATCCCACAGATTAAATAAGACCTCACAAATAAATAAAAAGTAACTGAATGAGGTACTTGAAGATTTTTGTTTGTTACTATAATTATGCTAATTTTACTTAACAAGAAAATTATTATTTTTTTCAGAAGGTCTTTAACAATTAAAGTCTCAACAAATGTTTTACAATCCATGCTGTATTTTAATGTATACATTTATAGTGAGCATGAATCTATCAAATTTCAGTTGAAGAGATTTGTGGGAAAGTGAGTGAGAATATATTCCTCATTAGAAAAAGCAAAGTATTTAAAAAATTGAGTGCTCTTTATAGCTGTGGGTTTTATTACATTTGGTTCAATTGAAACATTTTAAAAATTTAATTGATAAAACATTTTTATATCTCAATTTTTACTTTAAATATAAAATTTTGAAGTCATTATTAATATCAAGCTTTACCCTGATGATTAAATATATATTTAATAACCAGATAAAAGAAAAACATATTTCTGGGGATGTGCCACCGTAGTGTGCTTTGAGTCACAATTGCATATTTGTTTCACAGCTACAGGACAAGTTTGAGCATCTTAAAAGAGTCCAACAAGAGGAGAGAATAAAGATTGAAGAGGAAAAAAGACAATTGGAAGAAGAAATAATAAATTTTTATAAAATGAAAGCTGGCTCTGAAACATTGCAGACTCAGGGTAGCACCAATATAAAAAAGGACAAAGATCGTAAGAAATAGTCCATTCTTATCATTCTCTATGTTATTGAGCCCTATCACTCTTGATCCTATCTTTCTGTGAGCTTGTTTCATAGCATTTTATTCTGATTAAAATTATATTACTTAAAAAAATTTCTACTTATTGTATATTTTCCTCAACTAGAATGTAAGCTCCTTGAGAGCAGGTACCTTAACCATCTTGTTAGCTGCTGTATCCTCAGTATTTAGAACAAAGACTAGCACAAAGTTGACCCTCAGTAAGTATTTGCTAAAATGAAAATAAAATCAAAGAATTACATGACCCAATGTAAAAGTGTTGATTATCTGTAAAAATTCCTTTTCCATAGCACTGCCTGTGGATAAAGTACAAATATAGCTGCTATTTAAAAAATCTAAGTAGAAGTAGATTTGTTGGAGAGTCATAAACTATCTTTTAGGGATAATTTTTCTTATCAAAATCTACTGATAATAATTTTTTGATAATTTTTATTACAATAAAAATTGAGTTTTTAGTTAGAACTTCTATACTGTGATGTTAGTCTTTGTAAAACTAATATTTAAAAGTTAGAGAGAGCCAGAGAACAATGGGAAACCATGTGTTACATTTTGGGGATAGTATTATGCCTTACAGATTTGTGGTATGTGTTAAAGCTAAAGTTACCAAAGGTTTAGAAAATAAGATAATTTTTTCCTAATATCAAAATTGTCCTTCCAGGATGAAAGTCATACCAATTCTATAATGCACATAGTACAGTGTAACGAACACTTATAAATAACATGTTTTTAAACATATACTTGCAAGCTGCATTGAGCACAATGATATTTCAGAGAGTGGAAGTGATACATATTCTTTTTTAAAAATATTTTTTATTTTTCAGTTACAGTTGACATACACTATTAAATTAGTTTCATGTATACAACATAGTGATTAGATATTTATATGACTTACTAATTGATCACCCCAATAAACTCAGCATCCATGTGACACGGTACATAGTTATAATACTACTGACAATATTCTTCAAGCTATACTCTGCATCTCCCATGATATTTTGTAACTACAAATTTATACTTTTTAGTCCCTTCCCCCTTCAGTCATTTCCCACCCCCATCCCGGCAACAATCAAAATGCTCCCTTTATCTATAGTCTGGTTTCTGTCTTGTTTGTTCATACATTTACTCTGTTCTCTATTTCCACATATAAATAAAATCATATGATATTTGCTGTCTAACTTACTCCACTTATCACAGTGCCCTCTAGGTTCATCCATTTTGTTGCAGATGGCAGGATTTTATTCTTTTTTATGGATGGGTAATATTGAATTGTATATGTGTACCACCTCTTCCGTTCATCCATTGATGGATGCCCAGGTTGCCTCCATATCTTGGCTTTTTAAAATAAAGCTGCAATAATATATGAACGCACATGTCCCTTCAAAGTAGAGTTTGGAGTTTTTTCAGATAAATACCCAGGATCATGATTACTGGGTTTTTCTTTGTCTCTTGTTATGGCCTTTTATTCAAAGTCTATTTTGTCTGGTGTATGTATTTCCACTCTAGCTGTGTTTTTTTTTTTTTTTTACATTTTTATTTTGATGAACTAACTCTTCCCATCTCTTTACTTTGAGTCTGTGTGTGTTTTTTTTTTGATCTGAAGTGAGTCTTTTGTAGGCAGCATATGTATAGGTCTTGTTTTCTTATCTATTCAGCCACCCTATGTCTTTTGATTGGAGCATCTACTCTATTTACATTTAAAGTAATTGTTGATAGACATGTAGTTATTGCCAATTTATTATTCATATTTTTTCTCTTCCTCCTCCTCTTCCTCCTCCTCCTTCTTTAAAAAGTCTATTTAACATTTCCTATAAGACTATTTTGGTGATAATAGACTCCTTTAGCTTTTAAAAAAATTTATTGGGGTGACATTGGCTAATAAAATTATATAGGTTTCAAGTGTACAGTTCAATAATATGTTATACACATATTGCATTGTGTGTTCGCTACCCAAAGTTAAGTTTACTTCAGTTGGGTCCTTGCTCTTTATCACTTTGAATATTTTGTGCCATTCCCTTCTGGCCTGCAAAGTTTCTGTTGAGAAATCAACTGACAGTCTTATGGGAGCTCCATCGTAGGTAATGAACTTTTTTTGTCTTGCTGCTGTTAAGATTCTCTCTTTGTCTTTAATTTTGGCATTTTAATTATGATGTGTCTCAGTGTGGATCTCTTCGGGTTCATCTTGTTTGGCAATCTGAGCTTCCTGGGCTTGTATATCTATTTCCTTTGATGGGTTAGGAAAGTTTTCCATCATTATTCCTTCAAATAGGTTTTCATTTTCTTGTTCTCTCTCTTCTCCTTCTTATATCCCAATGATACAAATGTTATATGCTTGATGTTGTCACAGAGGCCCCTTAAACTATCATTTTTAATTCCATTTTGCTGTTTCAATTGAGTGTTTTCTGCTATCTTATTTTCTAAATTGCCTCTGCTTTATGTAATCTGTTGATTTTCTGTAATATATTCTTTATTTCAATTATTGTATTCTTCTTTTATGACTGGTTCTTTTTTATATTTTCTATCCCCATTTTTATGTTTCTTATCTCTTTGTTGAAGTTCTCACTGAGATCACTGAGTGTCCTTATAACCGGTTTTTTGAACTCTGCATCTGGTAATTACTTGTCTCCATTTTGTTTATGTCTTTTTCTGAAGCTTTGTTTTGTTCTTTCATTTTGGACATTTCTTTGTCTCCCTAATTTTGGCTGCCTCCCAGTGTTTGTTTCTATGTATTAGGTAGAGTTGCTATGTCTCCTGATCTTAGTAGAGTGGCCTATGTACTAAGTATCCGGTGGAGCCCAGTGATAAAGTCTTCCTGGTCACCCGAGTCAGGTGCTCTGGATGTGTCCCTTATGTGAGTTGTGTACTCTCTTGTTATAGTTGAACTTTGGTTGCTGTTTGCACATCAGTAGGAGGGATTGACCTTCAGGCTGACTGATTGTGAAGAATGGCTCTAACTATAGTGGAGGACCTGTTGTGTAGGGATTGACCCTATAGAGCAGCATTCTTTAATACATGTATTAATGTGTTTAAGAATACATGCAGTTAGGTTTTTCTTAGAAAGTACTTGCAAGCTGTGTTGTGTACAGTGTATTTCAGTAATTGGAAGTGACATCTGTAATACATGTTGTGTAGGGTTTCAGAACATTTGAAGCAAGCATGTTTCAAACAAAGCTTCTTGCAAGCTGCACTTAGCATATGTTTTTTTCAGGGAATCAAGGTGATACTCATTCTGTAATACATTTAGTGAAGTATTTAATAACACTGCTAATATAGAATTTTCTAACAAGTCTACTTGAAAGTTGCCTTTAAAACAGCTTTATTTCAGTCGGTGGAGTTATACCCCTTTGATAGTTCATGTAGTGAAGTATTTAGGGACAAAAGTAATTTAGGTGTTTCTAGGAACTTTTTTTGTAAGCTGCATTGTACGATGTTATTTGAGAAAGAGGAAGTGATACCCATTTTTTTGATAGAGAGAGTAAAGTGTATAAGAGCAGTTGTAATAAATATTTCTAAGAACATATTTGAAAACTGTTCAGAAAAGTGATATTTCAGGGAATTTAACCATAATTTTTTTGTAATACACGTAGTGAAGTATTTAACAACATTTGTAATGGAGAAAGTACTTGCAAGTTGCATTGAGCACCATGTATTTCAGTAACTTAAAGTAATATCTGTTCTTTTATGCATGTTGTGAACTGTTTAAGAACATTCAACTAAAGATATTTTAAAACCAAATACAAGGTGCATTCAGATGAGTGTTATTTTGATGAATGGATGTCATACCATTCTGTAATACATTGTATGAAGTCTTTAAGAACATGCAATTGAGATGTTTTTAAGAATGTTTGTAGAAATATTAATTGCAAGCTGCATTCAGAGCAATGTTATATCAGTGTATAGAAATGATCACTATTTCATATGGCCTATAGTGAATTGTATATGAATAATTATAATGAAAATGTTTCTAAGAACACCACTTGCAAATTGTCACTGATAGGAAGTGATACCCAATAGGTAATAAATGTAGTGAAGTGCTTAAGAAATGTGATAAAGTCATTTCTAAGAACACACTTGTAATCTGATTTCAGTCAATTGTTATAGCACTGCATGTGGTAAAGTGTTTAAGAATATTTATAACAAAGATATTTCAATAAGTGCTATTTGCAAACTGTGTTCACGCCAGTGTTATATTAGTGAAAAAAAGTAATTTCTATTTTGTAATGAATGTAGTGTTTAAAGATGCTTGTAATAAAGCTGTTTCTAACAACTTTCATGAAAACTACATTTAGAATAGTTTGAAATCAGTAAATGGAAATGAGCCATATTGTGTAATGTATGAAGTGAATTAATTAAGAATATTTGTAGTAATGATGTTTCTGAGAATGTTTCTTGCAAGCTTCATTGAGAGCTGTGTGACTGAAATGACACCAATTCTGAAATAAGTGTAGTGATATATTTCAGTTCACATTTCATAAAGATGTTTTTATAGGATGTTATTTGGAAGCTGATTTCAGAAAAGTGTTATATAAGTAAATAGAAGGAATCCTATTCTCATTTGTAATAAAGATGTTTCTAAAAATGCTACTTGCATATACATTTATACCAGGGTTATATCAATAATATAATCAGTTGTTCTTCATTCTGTAATGCATGTAGTGACTTGTTTAAGAATATTTGTAATAAAGATATTCTAATTTTGATACTTGCATGCTTCGTTCAGACTGCTGTTACATCAGTGATTGTAAGCAATACTCATGTACTGTATGTAGGGTAGTGTTTAAGAACACTTGTAATAAAGATATTTCTGCAAACACAACTTATAAGCTCTTCTATTCCCATGTTTTATCGGTGAAAAGAAACAATCCCCATACTCTTATATGTGTACTGAAGTGCTTCATGAACACTAGTAATAAAGATGTTTATAGAAAATGCTAATTGCAAACTACACTGAGACCAGTGTTTTATCA